TGACCGTTCTCTCTCCATTTGTTATACTTCCAGCGCCAGTAAATAACATGATCCGGATTGGAGAGCTCAGGCTTATGAAAATGAATATTGTTGAAATCTGCGCACTTTAGCATTTATTTCAGCTATCTAGGAGCAAAACACCGACATTGAAATGTCAGATGCAACATCTTTGTTCACTCATGGGGCGATGATATAGAGCTTTGTTGTTAAAATATATATATGAACCAATCTGATTCTATTTACGCTCCACACAAGTCATCAACATTAACCTAGTCCGGAAGTTGGAGAGAAAGAGTTGGTGTCGTGCTCTTCGCCCTATGCGCACTTCAATACTACTGTGGATGATGTGCGCTGCAAGTCGCATGCATGCAAGGATGAAAAATGGGAGCGAATGGAGAGTCAAGGGTATATCAAGAATATTAATTCATACTTTTCCAGTTTGCGGTGTATTGTGATTCTATAGCTAATAGCTATGGGGAAAGCAAAAGATAAAAGCAATGTAAACAAAACACCACAAAAAAATGAGGTAAAGGTGGCGGGGAGATATAACAAAGACAATTAGATAGGACAGGTTTCCGGGGGACTTTCCCCAAGTGCCCGACTCAAGGACAAAGTGAAAAAAAGTTCATCTATAGAATAAATCGTAATGATAAGCTTCGTGAGTGATGGTGGTTTTGAAAAGGCGGAGTCTAGTCACCATCTCAAGCGGTGCCATGGATTTCGATTTCTACTTCTAGGAGCTCCTCCTCAAAATTCCTTGTCTATTCACACAACGTCCGGTTCCAGCAAGCGTACAAAGAAGCGAAAAGGGAAAAGGGGACATTCCACACCTACGCATCCAGCGCATCCAGATCAATCACATCCTCCCTCCTCCGAATCATAAGCGGCGCAAAAGGATTCGCATTCATCGAAAAGGAATACGAAAACGGCTTGATCATCGACCCTTCCACTATTTTCAGGTCATACTTCAGGAGCAAATGGCAGAGCAACACTTTGATTTCGTTGGCAGCGAAGAAGCGGCCGGGGCACGCATGTTGGCCATGTCCAAAGGCTGGGTGGTCCGGGCTAGTACTGACGAGCTGTGACAAGTTTTCTTGTCCAGGCTCCTGACGTTTGTTGTAGAAACGGTAGCCGTCCCACTGGTCTGGGTTAGTGTGGACGCTGGGATCCCACATGCGGTGGCTGGAAACAGCGGTTGAGGTGTTCCTGGGAATAAAGGTGCCATCAGAGAGGGTAACGTTGGCGGTTGTTATACGGTTCATGTTGACTGTAAATTTGTAAGTAAAAGTCGTTTCTTGTTATTCTTTTCTCTTGTATTGCCATAACATCTTTTGCTTTGCTTCAGCGGTTGGAAGCGAGGGTGGATAGCTTACTAGAAGCGATGGGCTTCATGCGTTGACTCTCCTTGATGACGCTGTCTAAAAGCTTCAATTTGTAGAGTGAGTTCTTTTTCCACCCCCCTTCACTCAAGGATTCGATCATCTCCTTTCTCAGCGGCTCGATAATTTCCGGATGAGAAGCTATGTCAAGGATTACTTGGGTTGAGAGGTCGCCCTAGGTGACATTGAAAGTCGTTTGCATTCAGAATCGATCAGCATCTCATGTTTTGCCGTTTGAGATATTGGTTCAACCATTAATCCCACAAAACGAAGGCCGTTCTATTACATTTCAAAATGCTCCGTTTAAAGCAGAGGGCTTCTCTTACCGTAGTATGAATTGCAGCAAGACTGAGTCCAAGCTGGGCTATAACTGGGTCAAGAGTGAAACCTTCAATTGTTGTGGCGCTGGTAAACCATTCAATAGCATCATTGATCTCAGGAGCTTTCTTTCCCTGTGCTGCGAAGGCGGCCTTCTGTTCTGCACGCCTCTTCAAAATAGGTTCAATAACCGTACGTGCCCTTACAACTTCAGCTCTGGATGCCCTGCATTTGGGCAAAAACCAGTGGACGATGCTCCGAAGATAGGGGGGCCACATTCTTAGTGATTCTGCAGCCGCGAACGCCATGATAGTGTAGTTAACAGTAATGTCCAGCCATCTTTTATCATGACATAGCTCATCACCGGTGAAGACCTTGGAAGAGATGCGGGCGATGATCTGCAGAAGCTCGTTTTTCAGGGTAATCTCATGCCACTCTGAATAGCATAGATTAGCAGCTAGCGCGGTGTGCTGGGTTGGAGGGTTTTTTTTTTTTTTTTGACTCGCACCTTTGTTGTCTGTTAGGATTTCCTGAAGTGACAATGAAGCCTCGTCAGAGAGCGGCTTTGTTACTTTGTCTACGAAAATGTTAACAGAGTACAGAGTAGGAGGAATATTAGGCTCAGGGCTGAGAGGCTCATCCAAAAGATCTGGCATTCCTTACTAAGATGAGTGGTCAACTGGCGCTGGACTATGGACTTGCTAACTTTCATATCCAGTCCCGTGGCATTGAATACCTCGAATCCCGGGAGGTGGCCGAAAAAGTGCTTCGCGATTGTTACCGTGTCAGATTTACAATTGTTCTATCATCGGATCAGACAACAAAGCGACCTCTTACCTTGGAGACATTAAGCTCGAGGCTCATGTGGTCATTGCTCTTAATCTCGTTGGCTGCATCAGGAGGGAGAACCGTGACTTCTCCGCTATCTGCAAGGATGCGGAACGGCTTATTGCCAGTTGCCGCGAAGCCCTGTTTAACCAGCGGAATTGCATTGTGAACGAATTCCTGCTTGATCCTATAATCCGAAAATTCAAACCACCGTTTGGGGTTGATAAGTGGCACCATCGACCTCCGACGCTGTAAAGTGTAAAAAACGGCCAAAGTCAAGGCGGTGACAACGAATGTGACAGAGGGCAGGTTGGAAGTGGATATCAACTCGGCCATGTAGCTCGTGTCGGGTTCTAGGAGTTGCCATTTGGTTTGTATCCCAAGAGCCCATAAATCAAATCAGTTCGACGTATATTCCCAGGAGGCTCAGATTGGAATGGGGAATCAGGTCGGCTTTATATAAAGACGGACCATCGTGATCGTCAGTCCTAATGCTGGCCTAGCCGGGGATTAATTGCCCTTTCGCGCTTGGATACCCAAATTTCTTTCATATTTTGTTCAGCACGGTACAAGCCATTCTGCATCCATGCTTCTGAGGTAACAGCACACATCACAAAATACATAGTAAGAATAATAATAGCAGCAGCAGCAGCAGCAGCTAATGTGTGCATAAAGCCGCCAGCGTGGATCTTATACTTACCGCGGCGAATCTGCCTGGCGGAGCAGATCCTACATGGGACACATCACAGGGGTTTGTTGGCCCCCAAGAGCCAAAGGCGGGAACTTCCACTCAATTGAGTCAAAGAAAATAAACATAATACAGATCCCATGGCTAATGATTGGGTGGTGGTAAAATCACCGGTGCTTAATTCTGTCATTAGTTAGTCTTCTTCGCTGACATGGCGCAGATCTACTGCGTAAGAGCAAACGAGTAAAACCAAATAAACCATCAGCCTTCCCATCCCGGAGGTCAAGCAATGCCATAGGGCACCTTGGGGAGCGAATGATCCTCGGGATTCAGAGTACCAGTCAGCGACCGGGTCGCGACATTTCGTGGGCTTTCTCGAGCACTGAGTTGACGCCAACGGGAGGTATGTACTCCGTACATTTTCTGCCACCTCTTTCCTGACGGCGTATTGGTTGAACACTGCATGTCGGGCCATTAAGGGCCTGTTCGGTGATTTTGTCCGTACAGTGCCAGGGCCGTACAGAAAGTGGATATTTGCCTTTTGACGGCGTGAACCTTCATTATTGCCGCCTTTCCCTATATGAATATTAATCTGCTTGGCGTTCTGGCATTACTTTTATTACTTACGAGCAGTTTTTATCATGATGATTATCATGCGATTCCAGTGGATGTGTAGCAGTTGAAAATCCCATTATATTACTACTTTCTCACACTGAATATCAGTGAAAAATGGATCTTGATGAGTCCCAGATTGATCTGACATCCAATACCTTGATGAACCCTTGATAAGTGAGAGCCAGCAGCCTGAATTTCCAACACTAGCCACCCAAGCCACGCAGCGAGCCTCCCCACCCTATCCAGCGAGCCCGGCGAGGCCCTCGAGTTCGAACCGATTGGACCCCTGACTTGGAACTGGCCATGCTCAATACCTTCATTGATGTCAAAAAACAGGGTTTGAAGACAGACAATGACAATTACAAAAGTGTTATTTGATCTTCAATTGTTGATGCTGTCAATCAACATACACATCAATCTATTATTAAAAATATATATGAGAATTGATGGTGGAAGATTAAAACAATTTGAAAGCTACGATATAAACATCAACAACAGATATCTGAGTGGTCATTCTGTCAAAAAAAAAATGACATTTGTTAATGATACTGAGATTACAAATGTGTATTTTGGTTGATATTCAGAAATGCAACAATTTCAACATTGAAAATCTGTGTATTCAAAACTCATCAGAGAATTGCTTGATGATCAATTGATAATAAATGATTATGCTATAAAATATCATGCTCATCAGCAAAGAAGAAGAGAAGAGATGATAAATGAAAATATTAATGATATTAAAATAAAAAAAAAAATTGACATTCATATTCACATTTTTTTTAACACTCATATTTGTTGTAAATTTTTTTAAAATAATTCATTAAAATTCTGTTAACTCATCTCAATCATTTACAAGAATGTCAATTGAAACAAATGTTTGAAATTGATCATTTAAAAAAATTTTTGAGAACAGTATTGATATTCTGAAAGAAGTTATAAAAAAATCTACAACAATCAAATTAAAAATTGAACAGTTAAATGATATTGAACAAACAATTAGATTATTTTTAAATGAGGTTCAGAATTTACTTTCAGAGGGTTGAAAAATTGATGATTGAATTTTTTATTCACAATATAATGAAATATCATTGCTTTTTTAAGATTCAAATATATCAAATCTCTATCTTGATTATAATGCAGAGTTAATAAAGAATTAATAAAGCTTTATACTGACTTTATTTGATTTAAAAGAGAAGTAATAGAAGTAATGAGATGAAGAAAAAATGATGGTAAAAATAATGACAGAAATGATAGTAAAAATAATGACAGAAATAATGACAGAAATAATGAAAGCTTCTTTATATCTACAATATCAATGAAATAAAGAATGAATGTAAAGATTTCTTTAATAAATTATCAAAATAACAGTATTTACATTAAATAACATGGTTATAAAACATCATCACTTTTTGTATGAGAAGGTTATATAAATATGTTTATTTTATTGATTGATAAATTACACTACGTATTATATACCATAAAATACACCAATAAAATACATATATTTACTGAAATGAAAGTGAGAAGATGTTCAAAATATCAATATTGCTGTGGAAACTATTCAATTTACTTGATTGCTTTATTAAGACTAGCTAATTTGTTTAATTTTTATTATGATTTTCATTCAGATATTTCTTATACTGCTTCCACATCTGCTCATCAATATCATTTTAATTTTTTTATCATTTTATCACTATTTTTTTAAATATCTGCAGGAACTGTTTCTCTTTTTTTCTTTTCAATATTAGAATTCTCATCATATTGAATAAGCTCATTTATTTTCTTATAGTGATTCATGAAATTATGAACCATTGCTAATATGAAAACCAGGTCAATTTGAGTTGTTATAGAGAATCCATTTTAACATAGATTATAGATTTGAAATCGCTGTTTAAACATCTCAAACACATATTTAATTACATCTTACAAACTTGTACGGCGAAGATTATATAGCTCTGAAGCATTGACAGATTGAGAATTTGCTTTTTTCCATTTTTTCAGATGATGTTGAACTTTTAAATATGAAATCAATATTAAATTGAATTTCTGTGAATAGTGTAATAAACGTACTTCGATTAATGATTTAGCACTATTCTAAATACAAATTATGAATTGATTAAGAAAAAAAAGAAAAAAGAGATCAAAAGAAAAGATTGTATGAAGAAGATTTTTATAAAAAAAATTATTATTATTATTTTTTCATTATAAATGTATGCAATCAGTGATTATGACATTTATCTGAAAACTTCAGGATTTTTCAACTTAGGAATAAGCTAATATACAAAGTCAATTTAACACATGCATTAGCATAATTCCAGCCCAGAATCAAACAACTATTCAAACTATTCAATTTAAGAAAAAATGTCAAAAGAATAACAACAGATCAATACATTCAATTTAAAACAAATGAAATAAAAAGTATAAAAAACAGCAGTTATTAAAAGCTACAGAACAAACCTCTGCAGTTTACATTTTGAATTATATACATATTTTAACACTTTATATAACCAGCCGCCGCCTCTGTCCTCTCAGGCCATCATTAGAGGTTATCATTCCCTCTAGAGCGCCGCCGCCCACCCAGGTTCTTTAACTAGCCTATCTAAGTGGGATCCTCACTAAGAATAACGCCAGAGCTACCCAGTTCTAGTTAAATCCTCCGACCTTCC